TGTGGCCACTAGAGGGGGCTGATGATCATAGGAAATACACATACTGGACATACTACGGGGAGGATTTGGGTGCCGTATGCGGAGGCATTCACGCCGCACTGTCATTGGGTGGATCCTAAATGGGCAATAAATGGCTCCTGCCCTTCAGGCAGCCTTCTGCTTGGTTGATGAAAAGGTTGGTTTTCCACTGCTGATAGCCCAGCGATGGCAGCACAGGAGCCAATAAGTGAAAGAATATGTACCGTGTTTCAGCCTTTCCTACAAGTCAGAGATTGTACTTCCTGTGTGGGGGATTCCCCTCGTGTCTGAAGGTTTCTACAGAGAGAATGGATGAGGATTAACGGCCGACAAATATTTATAGAAGGGATTGAGGGGATGAGGAAGAAGATGAAGTCATTCTCACAGCTGTGACAGAGCAGACTCCGAGGGAGCGTCTGAGGTCAGGAAAATGAATGGAACCTCTACCAACGGGAGGGGAACCTCTGCCGACCGACGGAGGGGAACCCCTACCGACCGAGGAACGGGAACCTCTACCGACCAACGGAGGGGAACCTCTGCCGACCGACGGAGGGGAACCTCTGACCGACCGACGGACGGGAACCTCTGCGAGGAACCGACGACGGAGGATTGGGAACCTCTGCCGACTGACGGACGGGAACCTCTGCCGACCGACAGAGGGGGGACCACTGGAGGGGAACCTCTGCCAACTAATGGATGGGAACCTCTGCCGACCGACGGACGGGAACCTCTGCTGACCGATGGACGGGAATCCCTACGACCAAGGAACGGGAACCTCTACTGACCGATGGAGGGGATCCTCTGCCGACCGACGGAGGGGAACCTCTGCCGACCGACGGAGGGGAACCTCTGCCGACCGACGGGAGGGGAACCTCTGCTGACCAACAGACGGGAACCTCTGCCGACCGACGGGGCGGGGGAACCTCTGCCGACTAACGGACGGGAACCTCTGCCGACCGACAGAGGGGAACCTCTGCCAACTAATGGATGGGAACCTCTGCCGACCGACAGATGGGAACCTCTACTGACCGAGGAACTGGAACCTCTACTGACCGAGGAACGGAAACCTCTACCGATTGAGGGAATTGGAACCTCTACCGAGCGATGGACGGGAACCTCTGCCGACCGACGGAGGGGAACATCTGCCGACCAATGGAGGGGAACCTCTGCCGACCGACAGACGGGAACCTCTACTGACCAAGGAACGGGAACCTCTACTGACCAAGGAACGGGAACCTCTACTGACCGAGGAACGGGAACCTCTGCCGACCGACGGAGGGGATCCTCTGCCGACCGACGGAGGGGAACCTCTGCCTGACCGACCGACGGAGGGGAACCTCTGCCGACCAATGACCGACCGGACCGACGGAGGGGGAACCTCTGCCGACCGACGGAGGGGAACCTCTGCCGACCGACGGAGGGGGAACCTCTGCCGACCGACGGAGGGGAACCTCTGCCGACCGACGACGGACTGGGGAACCTCTGCCGACCGACGGACGGGAACCTCTGCCGACCGACGGACGGGAACCTCTGCCGACCGACGGAGGGGAACCTCTGCCGAATGACGGACGGGAACCTCTGCCAACCGACAGAGGGGAACCTCTGCCAACTAATGGATGGGAACCTCTGCCGACCGACAGACGGGAACCTCTACTGACCGAGGAACTGGAACCTCTACTGACCGAGGAACTGGAACCTCTACTGACCGAGGAATGGGAACCTCTACTGACCGAGGAATGGGAACCTCTACTGACCGAGGAACGGGAACCTCTACTGATTGAGGAACTGGAACCTCTACCGACCGATGGACGGGAACTCTCTGCCGACCGACGGAGGGGAACCTCTGCCGACCGACGGAGGGGAAACCTCTGCCGACCGACGGAGGGGAACATCTGCCGACCGACGGAGGGGAACCTCTGCCGACCGACGGACGGGAACCTCTGCCGACCGACGGACGGGAACCTCTGCCGACTAAACGGACGGGAACCTCTGCCGACCAATGGAGGGGGAACCTCTGCCGACCGACAGAGGGGAACCTCTGCCAACTAATGGATGGGAACCTCTGCCGACCGACAGACGGGAACCTCTACTGACCGAGGAACTGGAACCTCTACTGACCGAGGAACGGGAACCTCTACTGACCGAGGAACGGGAACCTCTACTGATTGAGGAACTGGAACCTCTACCGACTGATGGACAGGAACCTCTACCGACCGACGGAGGGGAACCTCTGCCGACCGATGGAGGGGAACCTCTCCCGACCGATGGACAGGAACCCCTACCGACCAAGGAACGGGAACCTCTACCGACCGATGGAGGGGATCCTCTGCCGACTGATGGAGGGGAACCTCTGCCGACTGATGGAAGGGGAACCTCTGCCGACCGACGGAGGGGAACCTCTGCTGACCGACAGATGGGAACCTCTGCCGACCGATGGACGGGAACCTCTGCCGACTAACGGACGGGAACCTCTGCCGACCAATGGAGGGGAACCTCTGCCGACCGACAGAGGGGAACCTCTGCCAACTAATGGATGGGAACCTCTGCCGACCGACAGACGGGAACCTCTACTGACCGAGGAACTGGAACCTCTACTGACCGAGGAACGGGAACCTCTACTGATTGAGGAACTGGAACCTCTACCGACTGATGGACAGGAACCTCTACCGACCGACGGAGGGGAACCTCTGCCGACCGATGGAGGGGAACCTCTCCCGACCGATGGACAGGAACCCCTACCGACCAAGGAACGGGAACCTCTACCGACCGATGGAGGGGATCCTCTGCCGACTGATGGAGGGGAACCTCTGCCGACCGACGGAGGGGAACCTCTGCTGACCGACAGATGGGAACCTCTGCCGACCGATGGACGGGAACCTCTGCCGACTAACGGACGGGAACCTCTGCCGACCAATGGAGGGGAACCTCTGCCGACCGACAGAGGGGAACCTCTGCCAACTAATGGATGGGAACCTCTGCCGACCGACAGACGGGAACCTCTACTGACCGAGGAATTGGAACCTCTACTGACCGAGGAATTGGAACCTCTACTGACCGAGGAACTGGAACCTCTACTGACCGAGGAACGGGAACCTCTACTTACTGAGGAACTGGAACCTCTACTGATCGAGGAACGGGAACCTCTACTGATTGAGGAACTGGAACCTCTACCGACTGATGGACAGGAACCTCTGCCGACCGAAAATGCATGTGAGTTGAAGAGAACAGACAGAACGGGAAACTCTACTGACCGAGGAACGGGATCCTCTACTGACCGAGGAACGGGAACCTCTACTGACCGAGGAACGGGATCCTCTACTGACCGAGGAACGGGAACCTCTACTGACCGAGGAACGGGATCCTCTACTGACCGAGGAACGGGATCCTCTACTGACCGAGGAACGGGAACCTCTACAGACCGAGGAACGGGAACCTCTACTGACCGAGGAACGGGAACCTCTACTGACCGAGGAACGGGAACCTCTGCTGGCCGAGGAACGGGAACCTCTGCTGGCCGAGGAACGGGAACCTCTACCGTCCAACAGACAGAAACCTCTACTGACCGAGGAACGGGAACCTCTAATGACAGAGGAACGGGAACCTCTACTGGCCGAGGAACGGGAACCTCTACCGTCCAACAGACAGAAACCTCTACTGACCGAGGAACGGGAACCTCTACCGACCGAGGAACGGGATCCTCTACCGACCGAGGAACGGGATCCTCTACCGACCGAGGAACGGGAACCTCTACCGACCGAGGAACGGGATCCTCTACCGACCGAGGAACGGGAACCTCTACCGACCGAGGAACGGGAACCTCTACCGACCGAGGAACGGGAACCTCTACCGACCGAGGAACGGGATCCTCTACTGCAGCACAACTGATTGGATTCTAGTGCTGCTTCTCCCTCTCCCAGTCTGAGCTCTGCTGTACAGAGGCTGGAATGGGGACTGACAAATAAAACCACGTGGAATGGTATACGGAGAATCTGTATATCTGTCTGGAGATCAGCGTCTCTGCCCCTCCCCCCTCGGGAAATGAAGGAAGCAGAGGGCTGCGCAGCGCCCCGTATCGTGTGTCTTTTGTCGGGGGTTCGTCCGTCAGTCCGCTGCTTAAAGTTTGCATTTTTAGGACGCATTTTTCCCGAGAAATCTCCTTATAAGGGATGTGTGTCTGTGTTGTTGTTGATTTTACTTCACCAAATCCTAATGACATCATCCTGCAAGCAGCTGAGCCGGTGCCAAGCGTCCCTGCGCCGCGCCAACGCCCGCTCGCCCCGCCGACAGGCACCTGGGTAACCCCACCCTCTGTAGGAAGACTGGGGGCACTACTACTCCCAGCATTGCATGCTAGAAGGCAGGAAGTCCTGAGGACTGAGGCTCACTGTCTGCTGAGCGACAACTACTGAACCTGACAACCTCACAAATGATTCATCTCATATATTGGGATGAATAGAAATTGAAATGTCAAATATTGCAGCTCCGCCGTCCCGAGATCAGGCGTCTGCATTCGTTTTCCTATTTCTGGCTCTTCTCATTATCTCCACCTGGAGGTCCTGCCAGTACCACACCTCCTGTCTTCAGTGACAACGCTGACTTACTGTACTGTATCTATGGAGTGTTGTCACCATAAGGCAGGACACCTCCTCCGCTCCACAAAACACAGTGTGGAGGTGTTTTGTAGTGCTTGGTCATGCTGGGATGTGTAGTACCCAGTCATGCTGAGATTTGTAGTGCCTGGTCATGCTGGGATGTGTAGCGCCAGGTCATGCTGGGATGTATAGTCCCCGGTCATGCTGGGATGTGTGAGCGGATATAGTGGATGCGGGGTCCGGGGAGAGCAGATATAGTGAATGCGGGGTCCGGGGAGAGCGGATATAGTGAATGTGGGGTCCGGGGAGAACAGATATAGTGAATGCGGGGTCCGGGGAGAACGGATATAGTGAATACGGGGTCCGGGGGGAGCGGATATAGGGAATGCGGGGTCCGGGGGGAGCGGATATAGGGAATGCGGGGTCCGGGGAGAGCGGATACAGTGAATGCGGGGTCCGGGGGGAGCGGATACAGTGAATGCGGGGTCCGGGGGGAGCGGATATAGGAATGCGGGGTCCGGGGAGAGCGGATATAGTGAATGCGGGGTCCGGGGAGAGCGGATACAGTGAATGCGGGGTCCGGGGAGAGCGGATATAGTGAATGCGGGGTCCGGGGAGAGCGGGTACAGTGAATGCGGGGTCCGGGGGGAGCGGATACAGTGAATGCGGGGTCCGGGGAGAGGATACAGTGAATGCGGGGTCCGGGGAGAGGATACGGTGAATGCGGGGTCCGGGGAGAGCGGATACAGTGAATGCGGGGGGTCCGGGGAGAGGATACGGTGAATGTGAGGTCCGGGGAGAGGATACGGTGAATGCGGGGTCCGGGGAGAGCGCATACAGTGAATGCGGGGTCCGGGGGAGAGGATACGGTGAATGCGGGGTCTGGGGAGAGCGGATATAGTGAATGCGGGGTCCGGGGAGAGGATACGGTGAATGCGGGGTCTGGGGAGAGCGGATATAGTGAATGCGGGGTCCGGGGAGAGGATACGGTGAATGCGGGGTCCGGGGAGAGGATACGGTGAATGCGGGGTCCGGGGAGAGGATACGGTGAATGCGGGGTCTGGGGAGAGCGGATATAGTGAATGCGGGGTCCGGGGAGAGGATACGGTGAATGCGGGGTCCGGGGAGAGGATACGGTGAATGCGGGGTCCGGGGAGAGCGGATATAGTGAATGCGGGGTCTGGGGAGAGCGGATATAGTGAATGCGGGGTCCGGGGAGAGCGGATAGAGGGAATGCGGGGTCCGGGGAGAGCGGATATAGGGAATGCGGGGTCCGGGGAGAGCGGATATAGTGAATGCGGGGTCTGGGGAGAGCGGATATAGTGAATGCGGGGTCCGGGGAGAGCGGATAGAGGGAATGCGGGGTCCCGGGGAGAGGATACGGTGAATGCGGGGTCCGGGGAGAGGATACGGTGAATGCGGAGTCCGGGGAGAGAGGATATAGTGAATGCGGGGTCCGGGGAGAGGATACGGTGAATGCGGGGTCCGGGGAGAGCGGATAGAGGAATGCGGGGTCCGGGGAGAGCGGATATAGTGAATGCGGGGTCCGGGGAGAGCGGATACGGTGAATGCGGGGTCCGGGGAGAGGATACGGTGAATGCGGAGTCCGGGGGAGAGCGGATACAGTGAATGCGGGGTCCGGGGAGAGGATACGGTGAATGCGGGGTCCGGGGAGAGCGGATACGGTGAATGCGGGGTCCGGGGAGAGAGGTGGAAATACGAGTGACAACGCTGCGAAGGCGATCCCGTACGCCAATCCTCATGTATGGTGCGGTGGTTTTGTTCTGGGATTGGCAGCGAGGGAAATAAAACAGGAAGAAAATCTAACTTCGTGAAGAACGTCTTTTCTTCGTATTTCTCGGATCCGGATTTGCTTTTCATCTTTCTGGGAAAATTCAATCAAACGACTCAAAATCTGAATGTGTAATAAATCTGCATAGAAACCGGCGGACGGGGAGGCGGCTCTGCTGCTATGGGCGGAGACGGCAGTTTGTAAGTTTCTATAGACGACCATGAAAGTCGATGTGTTCCTCATATTCCAAATATGCAGCAGACAGAATCTACACAACAGCCAATCAGCTTCTAGCTTCAAGCTCGTTCAGGTAAGCTTTGAAAATGAAAGCTGGAAGCTGATTGGATGCCATGCACAGCCGCCTCAGGTGCTGCCTGCTCCAGTCTTACTTGTTGTCAGTCTTTGAGATCAGATCTCCTGCCGCCTTCACTAATCATGCGCGGTCACAGCCAATCGACCAGCTGAGCTCTCCGTGTAAATCAGCCAAATACTCCTCCTCCTTCTACAAAGTTACAATGTACAGTCTGATCACTGGGGGAGGGGAGACTAAGGAAATTACTCCTCCTCCTTCTACAAAGTTACAATGTAGTCTGATCACTGGGGGAGGAGAGACTGAGGAAATGCCTCCTCCCCCTTCTACAAAGTTACAATGTACAGTCTGATCACTGGCGGAGGAGAGACTGAGGAAATGCCTCCTCCCCCTTCTACAAAGTTAGTAGTGGATTGAACACGGTGGTTGCTGGAGGGAAGTCAAACTGCAGAGAGATATGTGCAAGACTGAAGGGGAGGAGCTGTACACCTGTGCAAGACTGAAGGGGAGGAGCTGTACACCTGTGCAAGACTGAAGGGGAGGAGCTGTACACCTGTGCAAGACTGAAGGGGAGGAGCTGTACACCTGTGCAAGACTGAAGGGGAGGAGCTGTACACCTGTGCAAGAGTGAAGGGGAGGAGCTGTACACCTGGAGGATGAAGGGGAGCAGTCAGTACACCTGTGCAAGACTGAAAGGGAGGAGCCGGTACACCTGTGCAAGACTGAAGGGGAGGAGCTGGTACACCTGGAGGATGAAGGGGAGGAGCCAGTACACCTGGAGGACGAAGGGGAGCAGTCAGTACACCTGTGCAAGACTGAAGGGGAGGAGCTGTACACCTGGAGGATGAAGGGGAGCAGTCAGTACACCTGTGCAAGACTGAAGGGGAGGAGCCGGTACACCTGTGCAAGACTGAAGGGGAGGAGCTGGTACACCTGGAGGATGAAGGGGAGGAGCCAGTACACCTGGAGGACGAAGGGGAGCAGTCAGTACACCTGTGCAAGACTGAAGGGGAGGAGCTGTACACCTGGAGGATGAAGGGGAGCAGTCAGTACACCTGTGCAAGACTGAAGGGGAGGAGCCGGTACACCTGTGCAAGACTGAAAGGGAGGAGCTGTACACCTGGAGGATGAAGGGGAGGAGTCAGTACACCTGTGCAAGACTGAAGGGGAGGAGCCGGTACACCTGGGCAAGACTGAAGGGGAGGAGCCAGTACACCTGGAAGATGAAGGGGAGGAGTCAGTACACCTGTGCAAGAGTGAAGGGGAGGAGTCGGTACATCTGTGCAAGATTGAAGGGGAGGAGCTGATGCACCTGTGCAAGACTGGAGTGGACGAGTCAGTACACCTGGATGATGAAGGGGAGGAGTCGGTACACCTATGCAAGACTGGAGGGGAGGAGCTGGTACACCTGTGTAAGATTGGAGGGGAGGAGCTGGTACACCTGTGCAAGACTGGAGGGGAGGAGGCGGTACACCTGTGCAAGACTGAAGGGGAGGAGCCGGGACACCTGGAGGATGAAGGGGAGGAGTCGGTACACCTGTGCAAAACTATAGTGGGGAGGATGGAGGGAGTATTTAAAAATTACTCAATGTCCCTTGATCCCGGGGTCCCCATATTACACTCGAAAATGTCCCTTGATCCCAGGATCCCCATATTACACTCGATGTCCCTTGATCCCGGGGTCCCCATATTACACTTGGGGTCCCCATTTTACATTCAGTGTCCCTTTATCCCCGGGTCCCCATATTACACTTGGTGCCCCTTTATCCCGGGGCCCCCATATTACTGTGTCCCTTTATTCCGGGGCCCCCATATTACTGTGTCCCTTTATCCTGGGGTCCCCATATTACACTCGATGCCCCTTTATCCCAGGGCCCCCATATTACTCTGTGTCTCTTTATCCAGGGGTCCTCATATTATTTTGTCCCTTTATCCCGGGTTCCCCATATTACACTCGGTGCCTCTTTATCTTGGGGCCCCATATTACACGGTGTCCTTTTATCCCGGGGCCCCCATATTACACTCGGTGTCCCTTTATCCCAGGCCCCCATATTACACTCGGTGTCCCTTTATCCTGGACCCCCATATTACACTCGGTCTGCCTTTATCCCGGGGCCCCCATATTACACTCGGTGTGCCTTTATCCCAGGGCCCCCATATTACACTTGGCATCCCTTTATCCCGGGGTCCCCATATTACACTCGGCGTCCCTTTATCCCGGGGTCCCCCATATTACACTCTCGGTGTCCCTTTATCCTGGACCCCCATATTACACTCGGTGTGCCTTTATCCCGGGGCCCCCATATTACACTCGGTGTGCCTTTATCCCAGGGCCCCCATATTACACTTGGCATCCCTTTATCCCGGGGTCCCCATATTACACTCAGTGTCCCTTTATCCTGGACCCCCATATTACACTCGGTCTGCCTTTATCCCGGGGCCCCCATATTACACTCGGCATCCCTTTATCCCGGGGTCCCCATATTACACTCGGTGTCCCTTTATCCCGGGGTCCCCATATTACACTCGGTGTGCCTTTATCCCGGGGTCCCCATATTACACTCGGCGTCCCTTTATCCTGGACCCCCATATTACACTCGGTCTGCCTTTATCCCGGGGCCCCCATATTACACTCGGTGTGCCTTTATCCCAGGGCCCCCATATTACACTTGGCATCCCTTTATCCCGGGGTCCCCATATTACACTCGGCGTCCCTTTATCCCGGGGTCCCCATATTACACTCGGTGTCCCTTTATCCTGGACCCCCATATTACACTCGGTCTGCCTTTATCCCGGGGCCCCCATATTACACTCGGTGTGCCTTTATCTCAGGGCCCCCATATTACACTTGGCATCCCTTTATCCCGGGGTCCCCATATTACACTCGGTGTCCCTTTATCCTGGACCCCCATATTACACTCGGTCTGCCTTTATCCCTGGGCCCCCATATTACACTCGGCATCCCTTTATCCCGGGGTCCCCATATTACACTCGGCGTCCCTTTATCCCGGGGTCCCCATATTACACTCGGTGTGCCTTTATCCCGGGGCCCCCATATTACACTCGGTGTGCTTTTATCCCGGGGCCCCCATATTACACTCGGTGTGCCTTTATCCCGGGGCCCCCATATTACACTCGGTGTTCTTTTTTCTTGGGGGTCCCTACGTTTCTCCTGGGGCCCCTAAGCGGGTGCACAGTTCCGGTGATTCCCATTGTACAATGTGATGCTCTCAGCTGTCACCTCCTCCTATCAGCAGCTGAACGTTCTCATCAAATAAAGAACCCGATCCATTGACAACATCGCTCTCCACAAAAACTTTATTAGAAGCATCATCTGATCGATCGCCTTATCAATAAACATTTCAATACAAAAATAATAATTTCATTTAAAGGGCCGGTGACCCCTTAGGCAGTTCATGAGATGTTCAGATTCATGTCAGCAGACGTTCTCCGGAAATACGAGGACAGCATGGTGGGAAGACATTTTCCGGCACACGGCTGACTTCCTGTCTATTGATCTCCCTGGAGAATGCTGACCGTCCATCCATAGCTCATAAATCTCTTTCAGACAAAGATGGCGGCAGACTTTGTCATCAGATCTTTTTTTTGTTAGTTTTGGGTGGAGTGGTGAGGGGTTAGGATCCCTTTTCTGGTCTTTTTTACTGTGTCCCCATTAGGAAGATTTAATCTATATATGTCCTGGTGGTCCAAAATTTGGAGTTGTCACCGGAAGACGAATAGAGGAAACATTACCAATGGTGCAGGGGCGGACTGACCATTTGGAAACTCGGGCGCTGCCTGAGGGTCCGGGGTCAGTAGGGGGCCCCATGAGATGCCCCTGGTACCTTTTTCATAAGCTTTTTTGAGTTTGGGCAAGGACACAGGGGCCCCACAATCACCTATTTCCCGGGGGCCCCATGAGTTGTCAGCCCGCCCCTGCAATGGTGACACTAGTTTTGGTGACAACGAAGAGGGAACTTCCTCCACCTTTCTGAGATTTCCCCAAACTTCCCGTTGAGCCTACAGAACAGGAGGCTGGTAGTAATTGTAGTTGGTCACATTCATCTGGACTAATGTTGAAGATAGTTCAAGGAGACAATTCCTCAGTTCTATTGAGTGTCAGGAATATTGACCTGGATTCATGAGACCACCTACTACTAGATACACCATGACCTGGATCCATGAGACCAACTACTACTAGATACACCATGACCTGGATCCATGAGACCAACTACTACTAGATACACCATGACCTGGATCCATGAAACCAACTACTACTAGATATACCATGACCTGGATCCATGACAACTACTGGAGATACACCATGGAGACCAACTACTACTAGATACACCATGACCTGGATCCATGAGACCAACTACTACTAGATACTACCATGACCTGGATCCATGAGACCAACTACTACTAGATACACCATGACCTGGATCCATGAGACCAACTACTACTAGATACACCATGACCTGGATCCATGAGACCAACTACTACTAGATACACCATGACCTGGATCCATGAGACCAACTACTACTAGATACACCATGACCTGGATCCATGAGACCAACTACTACTAGATACCATGACCTGGATCCATGAGACCAACTACTACTAGATACACCATGACCTGGATCCATGAGACCAACTACTACTAGATACACCATGACCTGGATCCATGAGACCAACTACTACTAGATATCTACCATGACCTGGATCCATGAGACCAACTACTACTAGATACACCATGACCTGGATCCATGAGACCAACTACTACTAGATACACCATGACCTGGATCCATGAGACCAACTACTACTAGATACACCATGACCTGGATCCATGAGACCAACTACTACTAGATACACCATGACCTGGATCCATGAGACCAACTACTACTAGATACACCATGACCTGGATCCATGAGACCAACTACTACTAGATACACCATGACCTGGATCCATGAGACCAACTACTACTAGATACACCATGACCTGGATCCATGAGACCAACTACTACTAGATACACCATGACCTGGATCCATGAGACCAACTACTACTAGATACACCATGACCTGGATCCATGAGACCAACTACTACTAGATACACCATGACCTGGATCCATGAGACCAACTACTACTAGATATACCATGACCTGGATCCATGAGACCAACTACTACTAGGATATACACCATGACCTGGATCCATGAGACCAACTACTACTAGATACACCATGACCTGGATCCATGAGATCAACTACTACCAGATACACCATGACCTGGGATCCATGAGACCAACTACTACTAGATACACCATGACCTGGATCCATGAGACCAACTACTACTAGATACACCATGACCTGGATCCATGAGACCAACTACTACATGACCTACAGAGACCAACACTAGATCCAAAGACCTGGTCCAGAGACCAACTACTACTAGATACACCATGACCTGGATCCATGAGACCAACTACTACTAGTACACCATGACCTGGTCCATGAGACCACTAACAATAGAAGAACACCAGACAACTACTGCTGAACATAATATGACACAACTACTACTAGATCCACCATGACCTGGATCCATGAGACCAACTACTACATGATACACCATGACCTGGATCCATGAGACCAACTACTACTAGATACCCATGACCTTCCATGACTACTACCAGACCATAATTGGATCCATGAGACCAACTTGACTACCAGATATACCATGACCTGGATCCATTGAGACCAACTACTACTGGATACACCATGACCTGGGTCCATGGTTTCAAGAACACTGATCTGATGTATGTGAACCATGCCTCGCATGAATCCATGAGACTACTCTAGAAGACCTGACCTGGATCCATGAGACCAACTACTACTAGATACACCATGACCTGGGTTACAACTACTACTAGTATCACCCGAAATCCATGAGACCAACTACTACTAGATACACCCACTGGGTAAGACCAACTACTACTAGATACACCATGACCATGCAAATGGAGAAAGTTCCATAGCACTGTTACTAGATCTCCCTAGACGTGGTCCATGAGACCAACTACTACTAACCATGACCTGGATCCAGAGACCAACTACAGCGCAGAACCTGACCTGGATGAGACCAACTACTACTAGATATCCCATGACCTGTGTCCATGCTATACACCATGAGACCTACACTACTACTAGATGGCACCATGACCTGGATCCATGAGACCATCTACAATAAGGAAAACATGAAACACCATGAATGGATCCATGAGACCAACTACTACTAGAACCATGACCTGGTCCATGAGACCAATACTGCAGCACGTTTGAGTTTGCAAAAGAGCACCTGGATCCATGAGACCACACTACTACTGATACACCATATACTGTGGATCCATGATGACACCTAAGATAGTGTTGTGTGTTCTTCATGAAACAACTCACTAGATACACCATGACCTGGAGAGAAAAACTAAGGCACAGACCTGGATCCATGAGACCAACTATCTAAACACCATGACCTG